GTGCGTGTGTGTGTAGGAGCTGGAGGTAGTGCGCGGGGGCGAGGCAGCCAGGCTGAGGGAGTTGTCTGCGGAGCAGCTGGAGCTGCAGAACGAGCTGGAGGCGGTGCACACTGAGCATGCTCAGAGACTGGGGGAGGTGCGGCAGGAGCAGAGACAACTGGAACACCGACTGGAGCAGCTCAGGCAGCAGAGCTGCGCCTGTCAACCCAAAGAGCAGGAGGCGCAGTACAACGCACAGGTACATGCATGGACCACAGCAGAGCCTATCTGAGTGTGCCCGGATGACTGTGTGATGCAATGATAAACTGAATTATTCCTGTACCCAGTGCAGTATGCTGCATGTATCAGCGCAGCTCATCTGTGTGTGGGAGTGATTCAGTAACGGGAAGACAGATACACGAATACACTGAGATGCAGAGCCAGTGACTGACTGATTTGCACACTGTGCCTGATTTTTGCATTTCAACTATCAATTAGGGCAGTGGTGCTCAGACTTTTTAAACCACATATCTAATCAGTCTAATCAATTCAGACAATCTAAATATTATCAATATTACATTAGGGTATTATGATGATTGCATGCATAAATCTAATAAATTGTAAAATGAGAAATTAGAAATAAGAATTAAATAAAAAGACAATTTAAATAACATTTGCATGTTGTAATATTTTTAATTTCAAGCTTTGTTAAAGAGTATCACATTTTGAAAACCATTGATTGGGGAGGGGGGTGAGTGCTTTAATGTTGCTAAATACAGGGGTAAATGGAGTCTATGACTCTAGATAAGTCAAAAACTAGTAATAGAAAAGTAATAGAAATGAAGCTGAAATAAAATTAATTATAAATATTACATGAAAAAGTTACATTTAAAAAATTTTTAACAAAAATTAGTAATGTTGCCTTGAAATAAAAATTATATGGAATAAAGTTATATAGAATAAATATGATATAAAAGGAACAAATACATATCAAATTGCTAAAATTAAAATAACTGAAAATACAAAAAGCTTCAAAATATTTATGAATACATTTCTATAATAGTATATAAATAATACTAAAATAACACTGCATCAGATATCAAATCCCTCAAAACATTTTCTAAAAGTAAAGACTTGCAGTTCACAAAGTAAGTCAGATGTAAACATTTTTCCTTTTTCTTTCTTGCATTCTATATTTTTTTTCTTGATTTCTTTCTTTAGCTTCTAAGCTCATTGTTTATTTGAGTGGGTGAGTTCAAAGGAATTGTGATTTGAGTCTTTTTGACTGAGAAAGGCTCAGGTATACTTCACTTTCTGCGTCCACTCGGCTTTGTGTACACACAACGCAAGTCTTTCATGAGTATGGATAGCCATGTTCAGCGTGTGCGCAGAATCCAGTGAACGGTTCTTTTAAAAGCGCCATAGAATGCAAAACTGTATTTACCTTGGCATGGTTGAATAATAACAGTTCTGTACATGAAAATGACATACCGTGAGCCTCAAACACCATTGTTTCCTCCTTCTTATGTAAATCTCATGCATGCAAAAGACCACTGAAAAATAGGCGAATCAGAACATAACACCGACTGTGACGTTACAGTCGGGATCACTAATAGTTACGCCCCCAACATTTGCATATACCCGCCCATGTTCTATGCCAGCCGAACCTGCACAGCCGAATCATCAGAAGTTCTGCAGGTATTGTGAAGAAACAAGCGAGGATAATAGCGAAAATGCCAGATCATGGAAATAAATGTTATGTTCCAGGCTGTGCAGGGTATGTGAAGTGCAGTGATGGGCTGGTGTCTGTATTCAGAAAGGCACGGAAAGCAAATAACGCGTTCTAATAAAATAACGCGAGCCACTAAAGGGACATGGTTAGCTGCTTGCTAGCAGTAGCCTGTTACATTACAGTACATAAGATTTCACTTACCACATAAACAGAGTAAGGAGAGATGACTGAGGATGATGGCGAATGATTTACAGATCCTGAGCACCACTGACAAGCATCTGATATTGTAAAATGTGTGGTAAGTACTGCCGCTGTAGTTTACACAGAGCACGTGCGATCGCAAATCTCGAAAGTGAAAGTAAAAAGCGATTGTGCATTCGAAAGCAGTTTCAATGCCCAGTATTAATAGCAGTATTAATAGCAGCTCCCTGATGCCCACATTTTATATACAGTATAATTACCCAACGAAATAACTGCGAGAGACAGTATTGAAATATATTTTCCCTGTGGTTCCTTCCTGCTGTGTGAGCTACTGAAATGAGCGGCACTGTGAAACAACCAATCAGAGCAGAGCTCAACATTGAGCCGCACTGTGAAACAGCCAATCAGAGCGGAGCTCAACATTATTATTCATGACCCTTCCAAATAAGGTAAAAACAGACCATTTCATTCTAGGGACAAATCCTAGGGTTGTAAATGGACATGTAGAACTGTTTCTGGAGATTTTTTGCCCTTACCTAAGCCACAGATATCAGAGAACAATTTAAAATATTGTATCAATGCATTCTATGGCACCTTTAAGTCCTCAAATCACATTCACATGCACTGTTGTCCGTGCCGACATTAAAACTGAGCAGCACGATTCTTCTCTCAAAAATGGCGCTGTAGATTTGCTCTGCAGTGCAGAAATCACTCATATTCCTATTTGTGTTGTATGGAATATTTTGTGCGTTCCTATATGTAACCCCTCTCTCCTTCTGTCCACAGCTGTGTGAGCTTCGCTGCCGTTTGGAGTGTGCCGAGGCGGAGCGGCAGGAACTGCAGGAGGAGCTCTGCAGAGAACGGGAGGCCAGAGAGAAGCTGGAGCTCATGATCTCGCAGCTTCAGCAGCAGATGACCCAGTCTGGCACCAAGGGGAGCCGCAGTAGTAGCCCTGCCCAGCCCCCGACCCCCTCCGCAAGCCCCCAATCCCAGCATTCCCTCTCTTCACTGGGCCCTGAGGTAACCTCCAGATAAACTCCTCCTCGCTCACCCCCCTCTCGCGCACACTTCCACGCCTGTAGCCCAGGAACACGCTCGCCCACTCCCTGCAGACTCACAGGCAAACACAAGACAGCCTCTGCAGAAAAGAGCAGGTCTCCCATTCCCTTTGTGTCGCACCACCACAAAAAAAAGACTTAAGGTTTGTGCTTAATGTAAAAAGACTTTTTGTGTAACCCTGCCCTCGACCAGTCGTTAAGCATTTTTTGGATGTACATGTTTGTTTTAATTTATAGTCGTGCTGAGAGGCTGATGGGACAGTGGAGGTATTTCTTTGTAGGACGCTTGCCTCCTGTTGCATTGGGAAAGTGCTCGAGTGCTTTTTTGCTCCCAGCCCTTTGGTTACAGGAAACTGACACTCACTAAAATACTACCTGTGACACGGAGCGCCAGGATGCCAAATGGCAAGACGCCAATGCCCTGCAGCATCAAGAAACCATGTGGATGTTTACTTTTTTATTTTAATTGTGTGTCATTGTTTCCTACAGAAAAAATGGGAGAAAGTTTTTGTTAATATCACAAAGAATATCAGTAAAATATTATTCTATAGCATCTTTAAATCATTATACTTAATACAATTGATTCAGAAACATAGAGGGGGCCCCTTTCTGAGGCCCCCCGGTTTAAGATCATAATCCTCCTCCTCTTCCTCTCCTTCTCTCCTCCATTTTCTTTCCCTGCCTGTCGTTTGTCTTTTCAGTCTGGTGTTGATTATATGTTTCCTGTCTGCACTGTTGACCCTTTGCAGGCTGGTATATGACAAACAGCAGTAAGATGCAGTAAGCAAAGACTCACATTCGCCCCCTGCTGGAGAACACTATGAAACTCTGCCCCCATTTAACTACAGGGAACATCTGCAGTTGTACAAATGAGGTTCAGCTCACTCTCAAGTTTATGTTCAGAGGATTTTCTAAGCAGCGAAAGAGTACCTGTAGCACCAATAACTTAAGACCTTAGTGGTTGTAGTTGCTCAGAAATTGCAAGATCAACATCCTATTTTCAAACAAAGCACATAGTAGACCTTATATTTGTAATTTTCTAAGCAAATTCAACAAGGATCCATTAGTAGTGCAATTAAAGATGTAAACTAAGCATTGAAGTATGTCACAGTCTTCTATAAACCAGAGCTGATTTTTTTTATTCATCAGAAAACTGCTGATAAATTACCTATAATTTTTTGAACGCTAGATTAAATGATTTGGCTGTCACGTATTGGATGTTTAGCTGACATTTTTTTTCATATACCTCCTTAATCATTCCTCTGTGTCATTATTCTGGATGACTGAACAAACAGGTCTGACAGAGAGAAGAAAAACAGACAGGGAGCCAAGGGAGGGACGTAAAGGAATTAATGCTGTCATGTTAGCTCCCAGTCACTGAGGGTTGAAGAGGCACGCTTTGTCTCCGCAGAATGGGGCAGCTGCCTCTGATGCCCAATCATACATTAACTGTTAGATGAATGAAGAAAGATGGACACAGGAAGTGAAGTGTTTTTGCCACTAGAGCAGTTTCTTTCTCTTTCTTTCTTTCTTTTTCTTTCTTTCTTTCTTCAGTTCAGATTGATTGTGTAAACAATATAGGATGTAAATCTAGGCTTCTTTCATGATATACATATCTCGTATAGAACATTCCACTGTGCACAACTCTTCGGATTCAAAGTCAGCCAAGTCGCAGCAGTTTTCTAAACCTGATAATGTGTACAGTGCAAAACCTCTTAAGAAAAATGTAAAGAAACACCCTGACTTATGTGAATACATCTAGCTTATGAAGAATCAAAAAACAAAACTATATTGTAAAAGAGTGCTTTGCCATTTTTGAACTTTTTTTCTTGAAATTATTCAGAAATTAATGTATTAACTAATAAAGATTTATATATACTTTGTACATATGGTAGTCATTAATATATTAACTAAATTCTTATAAATAATCTTTCAAGGTTTCTGATCACATTTGCAAAATCTGGGCATAGCCCAAGCTCTGTTTTTTTTTTTTTTTCTTCTCTCTAATTTCTAATTTTTCTCATTTCTAACTGAAGAGTAGTTGTTGATAAAGTGTGTAAGAATGCATGATGCTCAGAACCCCTACACTATCCAACGAGGAACGGGAACAGTGACGTATGCTGTCCAGTGCCTCAGTGTTTCCCTTCAGTGGGTCATCTCGTCCATTTCATTGGAGCCCACTGAGATTGACAACCTGTTGTTATTTTGGTGGTGTTCACTGTTCAGCTTTTCCTCTTCCCCATTATATATATATATATATATATATACATATACATATACATATACATACATATACATATAAATATATTTTTTCAAAATTAAGAATTTAAATCCTTAGAAAGAAGGGAGTGAAATAATGCATGTATTGTTCGCTACTATATTGTTATGCTAAAACAAATTCATTATTGCTAAAATACAGAAGTGATTTTTTTTTCTGTTCTCTCACACACATACAAGCTTTCCAACAAATGTTCCTCCGTATTGTCTGAGAAGAGTAGTCTTTATGTAAATGGGCACAAAATGTGCTCAAGAGCCTAATATAGATGCTAGAAACTTTTGATATGAGAGACTGTGTGTGTCAGTGACAAATGAGACATGACTTACTGAAAAGAGCAATGTTTTGTTTTTTTTGTAATACAAATATAAATATACAGTTTTGATTTCATGTGTAGTTCTTTTGAGAGATTGTAGCATTTGTTTTGGCACTGTAATGCAGTACTACAGTGTCGACTACAATTTTCAAATTTCAATCAGTATTAGGTTTCTTTTGTTTTCACCACAGTTACCTCTGTAGCAGCCAGTTTCAATGCTGTTTTTGATAGTTTTGGGTATTAAAATGTATTTCTGAAGCTTTCTAGAGTATATACCTTTTCATTTGTAACGATTCTATGAAACATGTAAATTGCATTTTGTACACAGGGGGGCGCTGTATATCTCCTATATAGAATACCATGTTAAATTTGAATTATGGGTATAGGAATACAGTACTTTAGACTCTTGAAACAACAAACCTGCTTTGGCTTTTGCAGTGTTAAGAAAATGAATACATATAACGTTGTACATATACGAGAGGTGTGAAATATGTTGAATATCTGATATGTATAGGCCTGGTATAATATAATTAGCAAAACTGTACCTTAAAGCAAAGAGTTTTTCAGCAAAGCTACCATGTATTTTGCATTATAGAGGAAATATCCCATTTTAGAGGGGATAATGAATACAGTGGCTCCCTTGAGCTGGTTAATGGCAAAAGAAAAAAGAAAATTACAATTATATAAACAAAACATTTTTTTAGAATGGTAAAAATACACGTAGTATACAAATAACTACCTGCCAGCACAGCATGTGTCCCTATGATCTTAATCACATCTTTTCTCATGTGTAACCGAGATGTCACTATTAAAGAAAAGGGGGGAAAAAAATCAGATGTGATGCTTTTTTTTTTGAGAACACAACACTGAAATAGAAACAATGTCATTGTTTATCCATTTCATTGGAGCCCACTGAGATTGACAACCTGTTGTTATTTTGGTGGTGTTCACTGTTCAGCTTTTCCTCTTCCCCATTATATATATATATATATATATATACATATACATATACATATACATACATATACATATAAATATATTTTTTCAAAATTAAGAATTTAAATCCTTAGAAAGAAGGGAGTGAAATAATGCATGTATTGTTCGCTACTATATTGTTATGCTAAAACAAATTCATTATTGCTAAAATACAGAAGTGATTTTTTTTTCTGTTCTCTCACACACATACAAGCTTTCCAACAAATGTTCCTCCGTATTGTCTGAGAAGAGTAGTCTTTATGTAAATGGGCACAAAATGTGCTCAAGAGCCTAATATAGATGCTAGAAACTTTTGATATGAGAGACTGTGTGTGTCAGTGACAAATGAGACATGACTTACTGAAAAGAGCAATGTTTTGTTTTTTTTGTAATACAAATATAAATATACAGTTTTGATTTCATGTGTAGTTCTTTTGAGAGATTGTAGCATTTGTTTTGGCACTGTAATGCAGTACTACAGTGTCGACTACAATTTTCAAATTTCAATCAGTATTAGGTTTCTTTTGTTTTCACCACAGTTACCTCTGTAGCAGCCAGTTTCAATGCTGTTTTTGATAGTTTTGGGTATTAAAATGTATTTCTGAAGCTTTCTAGAGTATATACCTTTTCATTTGTAACGATTCTATGAAACATGTAAATTGCATTTTGTACACAGGGGGGCGCTGTATATCTCCTATATAGAATACCATGTTAAATTTGAATTATGGGTATAGGAATACAGTACTTTAGACTCTTGAAACAACAAACCTGCTTTGGCTTTTGCAGTGTTAAGAAAATGAATACATATAACGTTGTACATATACGAGAGGTGTGAAATATGTTGAATATCTGATATGTATAGGCCTGGTATAATATAATTAGCAAAACTGTACCTTAAAGCAAAGAGTTTTTCAGCAAAGCTACCATGTATTTTGCATTATAGAGGAAATATCCCATTTTAGAGGGGATAATGAATACAGTGGCTCCCTTGAGCTGGTTAATGGCAAAAGAAAAAAGAAAATTACAATTATATAAACAAAACATTTTTTTAGAATGGTAAAAATACACGTAGTATACAAATAACTACCTGCCAGCACAGCATGTGTCCCTATGATCCTGATCACACCTTTTCTAATGTATAACTGAGACATTACTACTAAAAAAAAATCGGATATGATGCTTTTTTTTTTGAGAACACACTTAACACTGTAATAGAAACAACACCATTGACTTTCGTAAACAGCAAAGATATTTTAAGTTGCAATTCTGAGATATGAAATGCAGTGTTTGTGTGTATCATTGCATAATATGTTGCCAATCCTACAGTGTGATGAGAGGTTTTTTGCTCTTGCATGAAAATGAGACGTTGCTCTCCTACCTCATGTTGTGATGAGATGTTTTCTAAAGCAGATGACACATCTCAAACTGTTTATCATGATTGATATTTACGAGTTAAATACATGTACATGCTTTTAGCTGATACCTCAGTTGTATCTAGTGTTTTATTGTTCATTTCCCCCATTTCAGACATTGTAAATATATCTTGTATAGACAATGAACTTGGATTCAATTCAAGTAAAGTTCTGTAGTGTCAAACCGGCTGTGTCATTGTACTTTTTGCATTTTATGCACATTTGCTTTGACATCAAAATGGATTAAAGATAAAAAGACTACATTTACTTAAAAGGACAGTTCACACAAAAATTCTGTTTTTACTCACCCTCATGTTGTTCCTGTATGACTTTCTTCAGTGGATTTTTTTTTCTCTCCATTGGGGTCCAATTTTTTTTTTTTTTTTTTTTTTTAAAACATTTTTTAACCCTATAAAGTCTACTGTATCATATTTGATGATCAATATAATAATATAATAATCATTATCAATATATTATCAATATGATTAAAACTTTGCTGAGGAACCTGTTATACACAATATTCTATATGCCCTCTGTCATCTGATTGATAGTTCAAACTTTTTTGAATAAGTATAAGGCCTCCAAGTATAATTTGTTTTGCTGTGAAATATTCAATGTAAATGATTTTTATAAAGTAAACATAATAACTTTTATATTGTTATTAATATTTCAAGATGAACACTTATTGGTTTGAAGCAACTAGGTTTACTTATCCATAAGTCTTTTAAAAAGAAAAAAAAGTCATGTTAATATGAATGTATCAAATATGATACAACATGCATTTTGAGCAATGTTGATTTGTACATTTCAAATATCAAAATTTCATCTTACTGAGACATTATTGGCAGATATCGATTGACGACTGATTATTTATGCATTTTCTGTGAGTAGTCAGTTATACTGATTTACATTACAAGCTGTCAGAATTTCATTTTACTTTTTGGTCGTGTAAGTAACAATCTACACCAAATTGCATATTTTTGCTCAGTTTAGGCCTCTGAATAAAATGGTGTTTGTGTTCCTCCAGTGTGAGCTTCCTATTCTCACATATGAGCCATAAAAGGTTTATATATAATAATAAAATATATATATATATGTATGTATATATATATATATATATATACAGTGCCTATAAAAAGTATTCATACCCCTTCATTTTTTTCCACGTTTTATGTTGCAGCCTTATGTTAAACTACTTTAACTTTTTTTCCCACATCAATCTACACTCCATACACCATAATGACAAAGCAAAAAAAAAACAGATTTGTGACAACCTTGCAAATTTATTAGAAATAAAAAACTAAAATGATTCCATTGCATAAGTATTCTGGGACAGTGGAAGTTGCGTATTGAAATGTCTATCAGAGAAAAAACCATGCCCTGAGGTCAAAAGAACTGCCTGTAGAGTTTAGAGACAGGATTGCGTCAAGCCACACATCTGGGGAAGAGGTCAGAAAAAATTCTGCTGCATTGAAGATTCACAGAAGCATGTAGCCTCTATTATGCATAATAGAAGAAGTTTGGAAACACTAGGACTCTTCCTAGAACTGGCCTCCTGGCCAAACTAAGCAATCGATGGAGAAGGGCTTTGGTTAGACTGGTGACCAAGAACCTGATGGTCATTCTAGTTGAGCTCCATGATCATATATGCAGATGGGAGAAACTTACAGAAGGACTCCACTGATCCGGTCTTTATGGCGGTGTGGCCAAACTCAATCCTCTCCTCAGTGAAGACGCATGAAAACACACTTGGAATTTGCAACAAAGCACCTAAAGAACTTGTGAGAAACAAGATTTTCTGGTCTGATGAACCTCAATTCCAAGCGTCATGTTTGAAGGAAACCAGCTCTACTCATCACCTGCAGAGTACCATCCCAAAAGTAAAGTGTGCTGGTAGCAGCCTCATGCTGTGGGGCTGTTTTTCAGCGGCAGGGACTGGGGAATTCGTCAGAGTAGAAGGAAAGCTCAACACAGCAAAATATTGAGATAGCCTTAATGAAAAAAACCCAGTCCAGAGCATTCAGAACCTCAGACTGGGAAGAAGGTTCACCTTCCAACAGGACAATGAACCTAAGCACACAGCAAGAGTGGCTTATAGACAACTCTGTGAATGTCCTTGAGTGGCCCAGCCAGAGCCCAGACTTGAACCCTATCTAACATCTCTGGAGAGATCTGAAAATGGCTGTGCACCGATGCTCCCCATCCAACCTGATGGAGCTTGAGAGGTCCTGCAAAGAAGAATGGGAGAAAC